CTAGTGACTTCCTTCCAAAGTAGACAGTATGGAAAGGGGAGGGGCGGCGAGGGTGGAAAGAGTAACTTGACAGTACAGAAACCTGACACACACTACTCCAGCCAGGTGATCAGGAGCAATCTTGACAGTCATAAATCATGGTGATAGTATATACCCTCGAAAAGAGTGATGAAAATGGTCCTTTACTTGTGTGAGCTTTCTCCGCCAAGCCCATAACCCAGCCAGATCATGAGAAAAGTATGAGACAAGTTCCAACTGAGCAGCACCTTAACGATATAGATGACCAGTACGCCTCAAGTACTCAACGGTCAAGGTCATTAAAAGCAGGGAGAGTCTAAGAAACTGTCACAGCCAAGAGGAGCCCAAAGAGACATGACAACTAAACGTAATGGGGGATCTTGGATGGGACCCAGGAACAGAAAAGGAACATCAGGTCAAACCTAGAATCTAAATAACTATAGACATCAGTTAATAATTATGTACCAAAATTTGTTAATTGTAATAAATCTACTGATGTAAATGTTAATAATAGGGAAAACTGTGTGCAGGGATAAAAGGTAATTTGGGAATTCTCTGTACTATCTGCTCAATTTTTCTGTAAACCTAAAACTGTTCTAAAAAAAAAAGTAAAGTCTATTAAAAAATAAAGAATCTGAAGGTCAGAGATGGAAGAAGTCAGAGGCTCTCCTGCTGGCTTCGCCAAAACCAGCATCCACGAGACCTACAGCTGCAGGAGACGAATTCTGCCAACAGCTTCATGAAACTGGAAGAGGACCCTGGCCTCAGATGAGACCCCAGCCCTGGCTGATACCTTGACTGCAGTTTTGTGAGACCCTGAGCAGATAGCACAGAGAACCCAGTTGCCTGGAATTCTGATTCATGGAAACTGTGAGAAAACAAATGTTTGTTATAAGCTGCTAAAAAAAAAAAATCAACCAAAACCAAAACATAACAATAAACATTCCATAAAGTAGTGGGTATGCTGCAGAAAATTAAATCAATTAAAATGCAGAGCGTGACTGAGTGGCTTCATTCAACTGGGTGGCCAAGGAAGCCTTCTCTGAGGGGGACTATTCATTTGAAATCTAAATCTAAGAGGAGCCAGTCATGAGGCATTGGCAGGGAAAGCACTGCGGGCAAAGAGAGCAAGCAGCTCCAGGGCCTTGAAGTGGAATTATGCCTGTTCCAAGAGAGAGGCAGCTGGTGTGACTGGTGTGGCTGGAGTGATGTGAGTACAGAAGAAAGAACAGGAAAGGAGATGAGGGAGGTAGAATGAGCCCGATTACATGGGGCTTCCACTATGGCCTGAACATGTGCCCCCAAATTCATATGCTGAAATGCCAACCCCTAAGATAATCACCTCCTTTGGGAGGTGATTAGGTCACGATGGTGGTGCCCTCGCAAATGGCATTAATGACCTTATAAAAGAGGCCCCAGAGAGGTCCCTTGCCCCTCCTGCCACATGAGAACACACGAGAAGGTGCCAACTCTGAACCAGAAAGCAGGTTCTCACCAGACAGTGAATCTGCCAATGTCCTGATCTCGAACCTCCAAGCCTCCAGAACAGTGAGAAATAAGTTTCTGTTCTTTATAAGCCACCCAATCTCTGTATTTTGTATAGCAGCCCAAGCTCACTAAGACAGCTTCTAAAGAAGGGTAAGGAATTTGGATTTTAAGTTCAAGTGTAAGCTTTTGGAGCATTGTTAGTGGATGAATGAATATCTGCTTTTCAGTTTTAAAAATATTACACCAACTGCTGTGTGATGGACTGATTGCTGGGTACCAGATTCTGGATAGGAGGCTCCAGCATTAGCCTAGACAAAAGCTCATGGCAGAGATGACAGATGCCTTCCAAGAGTGGGGGAGGATGTGGGAGAGGGGTGCTGATGGAGTAGGGCATGGATTGGATGTTCACACTCATCTTGTGGACTGTGTCCATGAGGTGGCTCAGAGGTTCACCCAGTGGGTGAATTACAAGCAGCAGTCACATGCTCCCTGCCACGCTGTCTCCCCCGCTCCATGTCATCCTGTTCCTGTGGTTCTGAATCCCACTGATGATTTCATCTTGTTTGTGGCAGTTGCTGGCACGAGAATGGTGGTGTGCCAGTCTGGGCCAGATTCTCCCCTGGAGGCCCTGCCAAACTGGATCCTACACCCATCCCCACCTCCTAGCTTCCTGGCCCAGTAGAGCTGCCACACTTAACGAATGGCTTCCTCTGAGTTGAGCGTTAATTGAACAATTTGTTGCTAGTCATCTCAGGAGGTATGGGGGTGCCCTCTCTTTAACCTGGGAAATAGTTAAATCTGGGAGAGAGCAGCACCCAGGGTGGGCCACCTCCCTTCACGTGGGAACAGAGGAGAGGTTGTGGATAGGACTCTTCTGTTTTTATTTTGGCCCTGGTCATTTCATCTAAAGTCAACTGCAATTCCACCTTCAGACTCCTGACTTTAAACTGACCTTTTCCACTCCTGCCAACCCCTCCTCTTCCACCTGCTCACCACCCCCAGGCCTGGCGAGCTCCAGAACACAGTCCCAACCACCTGTTCTCCCTGGTCACCCAATCTAACCCCTTGGGCACTAGTCTGTACCCAGTTATAGGTGCCTGTGATGCCAATCTGGGTGAAAGCTAAGGCCATAGGGCCTTTTTGTCTACAGTTTGAGAGACTGGTTGCTTTGTCATGTTCACAAGGTGGCTGTCACAGGTAGCTGACTCTCCAAGCTCTTAGACAGGTCAACCCTAGAAGGTTGACACCTGGAGGGCAGGAACTGGATGGGTTCTGGGAGGGGCTGGTGTTGAAATGTCTCTTGTGGACGCGCAGGGTTCCCCAGGGCAAGGCACCATTTCCGGGTTGACACCCGACCTCTCCGCCGCCCCTGTGCTGAGCAGGGATGGGGAGAGCACAGCTCCTGCGTGGAGCCTGCTCCCTTCCTAGCTCCGCACTGAAGCAATCTCTTCTGTTCCCCCAGCTCTCGCCCCTTACTGGACATCAGGGTCGCCCCCAGAAATTCAGCCCGGATCAGTCTGGGATGAGACCCCAGCATCAGCACTTTTTAAACCTCTGCAGATGATTCCACTGTGTGGTGTTTAAGGATTACCAATCAGGCAAAAGTTAAGCAACACCCTCACGCACACACCCTGTGGGCAGGGGCCTCAGATGCTCAGTCCAGCCCAGGGACTTTCAGACAGGCATCCCTGGAGCCCTAGGTAACTGGGGGGCAGGGCTCCAGGCCCCCTCCTGCCCCTCACTGTCTGCCCCCACGCCCCCTCCACGGGAGTTCCCGCCCGAGGTCTCAGGTGAGTGGAAGGCATCCCGGTGACCCCAGCCAGTCACCGTGGTGCGTGGCCCGGCCTGGAACCACCGGTGGGCCCGTCACACGCTCTCTTTCTCCGGAGGCTGTCGGAGCTGAAGGTGCTGGAGGCTTAGCGCCTGGGCAGGATGTGAGCTGAGGGTCCAGCCTGCAGAGAGGGAACCGCGTAGGGAGCCACTTCGCCTCGGAAGAGGCGGAGATGAAACCCCGTCAGCTCCCAGGGCTCTGGGATTCCTGCTCTGCCTCAGGCCTGTTTGCTCAGCTTTCCTCGGATTCCTGGGAGGACCCTCTAGAGCTTAGAAAAGCCCCGTTTTACTGCAGCCTGTCTCTGTATGACCAAAAGAGGCTTCAAGAGAATGCTCACTGCAGACAGAGCCACTCCACTTTTATCTTTTCACATTTCGGATTCCACGGGAGATTTTGACAGGAAGGTGGCATCAGGAAGGATGTGTGTTGCTAAAACAAAGTAAAGAACTCACGGGCCAAGCATGACTCCTGGCTTCAGTGAGCGTGACACCCAGGCCCCTGTCTCAGTGGGAGATCAGAATGAGGGGGGGGGATCACCACTCCCACCCATGCCCCTCCCTCCCCAGCCTCTGCCCTAAGGCAGGTGTGGGACCCACAGGGAGGCAGCTCTGACTCTGATGGAAGAGAATTTGGGAGGCACAGGATGCCTGTGCTTTGGGGGAATCAGGGTAAACAGTCAGGCGCCGAGTTGAAGCCTGCAATTCCCTTCCTCCTCTCCTAACCCACAGCTCACCGGCCCCCAGATCCCTCTGTACTCCACACACCTAGAAGGATAGCCGCCTCCTTTCTCTAGCTGGACCCACTCCTCCACCTCCTGCCCCTGCTCAGAGACCCGGAGTCAGACAGTACACAAAACAGACCTGAGCTGGGTGTGCGCACTTGGTATCTAACATCTGACATTGGTTTCCATGTGCAAGAGTCACTTTCCTTTTCTCCCATATATATTTCTACTTCCCTCTGTCCAAGCCCAATTCCCCCTCTTTCCAGCTCCACGCGACCCCTCACCCATCCACCTCCCTCTGGGGAGTGGACAGGCTTGGGCAAACCGATGGTTAGCTTCAGCTTTGGACTGAGACTCAAATCAGGAGACCAAAAAGCACATTTTAGCTCTTCTGGGAGAAAAAAGGCACATGTGGATTATGGATAAACTTTCACTTCCCATGGACTGGAACCCAATCCCTCAAAGCTACATAATCCTCCTTATATACAACCCTTCATAAGGACTGGATTGGTTCTACAGCCACAGCAGTAACATAGGGCAAGGGAGACAGACGTGAGAGACGGTCCTACCACTTTTAGAGCCTCATTTGGAAACAGGAGCAGCATTCAAAGGCTTTTGCAGGGGAAACTGCCCAGATAGCACCTGCCTCCCACCCCCAAGAACAGTATGTGTATGAAATCCCCAAGTACCTCCTGGGTTCACGCTGCCCCCACATCTGACCCCTCTCTCAATGCCATCCCCACAGTCCCTCCCACACCAGGTGGTCAGATCCCCAAGGGTAAGGAGAGCAGTGGTGAGCGGCTAAGAGGAAGTCAAAAAATGTTTGCTGAATGACTGAATGAAAGAGCCCCACTGGGCCTGGGCCTTCATCGCCGTGCCCACCAGCAGTCCTCTTGGAATCCCAGTAACCAGTCCTCCATCCCGCCGGCCCCCAAGGCTTACCTCCCATGAGGAAGAGAAGCCCTGCCACGTACTGCATAAGGCCTCGGTCCCAGCAGCAGCCCAGCACACCGATGATCCAGCCGAAGAGGATGATGGCCACCGCCATGCCCATGAAGCCGGCCGTCATCCTGCGCAGGTCTGCGGGAGAGCAGGCGGGCAACAGTTAGCATCAGAGCCCAGAACTCAGGGTCGGGTGCACCCCAGCCCTGGGCGAGGAGGAGGGGGTGGGAAGGTAACCTGTCCTTTACAGACAGGTTGGCATAAAGGAGTTTCCTTTGCAGAGGACGGAGCCCCTGATGGTGACTGCATCCTTAGGCGCAAACACACGCCGAGACAGCCTGGTCCATGAGCACAGGAAGAGATCATTATCAGAACAGTTGTCATTTCTTCTGTATCTCCGTCATGCCGGGTGCAGCACCACCTTCCCAAGCATCTCCCTCAGCCTTCTAAGACAGGTACTGTCTTCACCCCTGTCTGAAAAATGGAGCAACTTGCTGAAAGCCGTACAGCTACTGCTGGTAGGACAGGGCATCAGACCCAGATCTGTGCAACTACCAGGTCCTTTCCCAGCATCACTCACCTCTCAGGGAGATAAGAACCCTTATTACTGGGCAGGGTCTTGGCAGTCTGCCTGCACCTGCCAAGAATTCTGTCCCTTCCCTCCAGGCTTTTCTGGTCTCCCAGGAGGTCAGGAATAAGGAGGAAGCTTCTGGCAGCTTCTGTTCCTCTCCTTCCAAGCCAGCCCCCAGGGGCTCAGCCTTCCTTGCCTGTGGGGTTGCAGGGTGGGAGCCACACTCCCTGTTCTCAGACTGAGCCCACAGGCCCGCCCCCTCAGCTCAGCCCAGCCTTCCGGATCAGGCCCTTCTCTGTTCCTCGCCTTGCTGACCCTGCCAGATGAGGCCTGGCACGGGCACCGGGAGGAGGAGGGCGGTCTAGAAAGGCGGTATTGTTAGCAGACAGGAGAGGGCAGAGCTGCTGCCATGTCTCAGTCAGGCTCACTCAGCGTCTTGCTGGGTTTGGTTTCCTCCCAGCTCCCCCCATGCCCTCTGGTGCACCCCCCACCCACCCACCTCACACTCCTTCCCTGGCATCTGGCCTCCTTACTTCCTCCTGGGTAACACCCCAACGGGGCTCCAAATAGGAGTGAAGCCATTTGCCTGGGCCTTTCCCTGGGCGGGGGGGCAGTGGGGATTGCAGAGCAGCCTGGAGACCCCATGGGCACTCCCCTCTCTTGGGCAAAGTGTGAGGTGGTGGGGGTGGGGGGTGCACCTGACAGCCAACTACATCAACCGCCATCCCCCCCATCACGCAAGCTGAGATGGTTTCTTCTCATCCCCAGGAAACAAACACCCAGGTGTCTGTGGGGAGCACCTCACAAGGCATCGCATCCCCTGGATGCCTCTCTCACTCCAGTTACCCCATCCGCAGAGCACACGGAGGATCCCTGGCACAGTCTGGCTTGGGACCTCCCGCCCTCTCCCCTCAGCAGATGGATGTGGCCAACACTCCTTGTCCTGACACTGAAGATCAGATGCTGGCAGCCCCTTCCTGCCCTCCAGGAGGAAGATGGTTGAGGGTGGGGGTAGGGCAAAGCAGAACAGTATCTGGGCCTCCCCCTGATGAAGAGGGGTCTGACAGGAGGCAGGACAGGGCTGGTCACAGAGGCAGAAATCCACGGAGAGCCGTGAGCAAGTGCCTGCTGAGTTCTCCTTGGTCCTCCCCACCCATGCTGACCCGGGAAAGCCTGCCCCAGCCAAGTAGCAGTAATACCCTCTAGAGTCATTTCCGTGAACTGCCAAGGATGCCTGATTACCATGCCGTACTGTGCTCAGACCACCAAACGGGTCAGAGGAAACTTTGTTGAGAGCCTTGGGTGCCAGTGCTCAAATGTGCGCCAGGCTTCCTGAGCGGGCTCCCTGCTCCAGCATCTGCAGCCAGTGTGAAATAAGGGAGGAACATTCCTACCAGTGGGGCTGGCACCACTTCTCTTTCAACAGCCGGTGGTTGTCCTGGCCCCCCATCTCCCCACTGCCCCAGCCTTAGTCCCATAGCCCCTTCTTCCTTTGTCACCACAGCAGACTACAGGGAGCCAGCTCCGAGCTGCCTCCTTGGTGGAAAAAGGTCCCCTCCTGAATCCATTTGGACTGATTCCGGGAAATGGGATCCTCTTTGCTAAGGATGCTTAGTTCACTCTCCACTGTGGTCAAGGGCAAGGAGGTGGAGGGCATGGGAAGACAGAGGCCAGGGTATTTTCAGTCTAAAGGAGGTTTATATCCCCTTGAACAGGTCAGGAGATTCTTCCCTTTTTAGTACCTGGCGGGCTTCTAGGAAAAACCTTGGCCTCTCCGGCAGCACTGGAGAGGACAACCCTGCTGAAGCCATGGCGTCCCTTCTGCCGCACTTGGCCTTCCTCATTGGAAGGCCGGTACTAGTCCCTGCGCTCTGCAGACCCATGGGAGCAAAAGTACCGCCTGGGGGACTGAATGGATAACGCGTCACATCAGGTGTATGTACTTGGGCCAGGGATGGAAAAGTGGGCTGGGCAGGAAAAGGGAAACACAAATCATTAAAAGACAGAAGGCTATTATTGCTGGAGGAGGAAGGCAAAGTGTTTTACTTAGAAGACAAACATAACAAAAGGCAGAAAAGGAAATGGAGAGAGTAAGTCCACTTCCAGAAGTTCTGAGACAGATAATATCCATGTTCCAGATCAGGGAGGGGCTCTGCCTCCAACACAGATTAGGTACACTCTTCTGTCTCCCAGAGGCTTTGTCAACACAGCTGAGGGTCCTGCTAAGTCACTGCTCTGGAAAGAAGGATGGAAACCAGAGGTCAGGCCTGAGTATTTTCACTGACCCAGGAGGATATTCACCATCACCCTATGGGCCTAATTTTGCTACAGCCATGCAGGTACAGTTGGTTATGTTGTCCTCAGACCCATGTATAATTCAGGGCAGCTGTAGCAACAACCTGTAGGTAGGACAAGAACTGTTCCTATTTTACAGTGAAGGAAAGCCAGATTTTAAAAAGCTAAATAATTTATTGACAAGTAGTCTCACACCAGTGAGCTAAAAAAGAGTGAGGTGGGTTATTGAGTTGTGTGGGAAAATAAAATTAATAATGTAATTAAAGACCTACTGGGTCATCATGGCAGATGGAACAAATGCATCCAGCATTTCTTCCTCCCAAATAAAGCCGGTGTTAGAGTACAAGATATTTTCTAAAGGCAGAAATTGACAAGGATGCGGGAAACTAGGAAAGGAGATGACAGAAACAGAAGATTGGAAGCTGCAAAGCAGATGGACAGTGAAGTTAACTCAGCAGACCTAAAGGGCCAAGACTAGAGCCAGCAGGGGAGAAGCTGCAAACCATCCTACTGAACCCCCAACAGGCTCACGAGCTGGCATCAACAACCACCTTTGGATCAGGAAGTTAAGCAGAGGGGAGAGAGATAAAACAAGGATTTGGTACAAGTTGTTTGAGATAGAACTAAAACCCTCAATCCCTTCACCCCTTCACTGGCTCCATACCTCCAGGGGACACCCCTTTACCCCACCCCCCAGGGTGGAGTGGGGGTCAACAAGCACAGGTGAGGGTGGCCTGTACAGCTGAGGGTTGTTAGACATGGGGTGAGTCTCTGTGCACATACAAAATGTTGAATGTTTACCGTTAAGATGCCCACCCTCTTCTGCCCGGCTCCCAGAAGCTGACTGCCAAAACTTTGCCCTCTAGCCTGGAAGCAGGGAGAGGCCTTTCTGGTGATGACCAGCACAAAAGAAAATACCTAGACACACTGTCACTTTGGTGGGGGCGGGGGCAGAAGCAGCCCCTCTGGCCACTCTAAAGTGAAGCTCCCCATTGACAAGCCCACTCGCAACTCAGTGCTTCCAGGCAGCTTTCAGCAGTCCACTTGTAAACATGAGCATCCCCAGATAGCTGAGAAAAGCTATGCCCTGGGAGAAAAAACTTGAAGAAACAAACTGCAGCGAAAAGAAAAAAAATTAATAATTATTATTGGAAAATGCATATCAAAACCACAACGAGATATCACCTCACACCTGTCAGAATGGCCATCATCAAAAAGAACACAGATGACAAATGTTGGTGAGGATGTAGAGAAAAGGGAACACTTGCATACTGTCGGTGGGAATGTAATTGGGGCAGCCACTATGGAAAACAGTATGGCGTTTCCTCGAAAAGCTAAAAATAGAACTACCATATGACCCAGCAATTCCACTTCTGGGTATATGTCTGAAGAAAACCAAAAATATTAATTAGAAAAGATACATGCACCCCAATGTTCATAGCAACATTATTTACAATTGCCAAAATATGGAAGCAACCTAAGTGTCCATCAATGGATGACTGGATAAAGAAGATGTGGTATATATATATATATATATATATATATATATATATATATATATATATAATGGACTATTACTCGGCCATAAAAAAGAAGAAAATTTTGCCATTTCCAACAACATGGATGCACCTGGAAGGCATTATGCGAAGTGAAATAAGCCAGATGGAGAAAGACAAATACCATATGATCTCACCTATATGTGGAATCTAAAAAATACAACAAGGTAGTGAATATAGCAAAAAAGAAGCTGACTTACAAATATGGAGAACAAACTAGCGGTTACCAGTGGGGAGAGGTGGGGAGAGGTGGGGAGGGGCAATAGAGGGGTGGGGGTGAAAGGTACAAACTACTGGGTATAAGATAGGCTTAAGAATGTATTGTACAACATAGGGAATACAGCCAATATTTTGTAATAACCATAAATGGAAAGTAATCTTTAAAAATTGTATACTAAATAAAAAATAAATTTAAAAAAGTATTATTAATATCCCCAAGAGATAAAAGAAGAAACATAGTTTGCCTTCATGAAATAAGAACAGGACACTATTGAAAAGAACTACCTGAAGGACTAAAATAATACCCAATAATAACAGAGTCAAAATCATTGAAATTTATATTATAAATTTAAATTATAAAATCAATTCTAATTTATGGATTAATAGTCTCATCCTGTTCCAAAGATTTAGGAGTCTTACAAAATACACACAGTACAACAGGATAAAAATAAGGAAATGAAGGAAAGAGAAAATAAAGAAATAAAAGGAAGATAAAG